TTTTGACCTCCAACCTTGTGGATAAGACCCAAATGTTCCAGCCAATAGTGCCATTTGACTATTAAGAGATACCTTACATGTCTTATATATTTGTGTAAGTCAAACACCCTATAACTACATAAAATAAAAAGAGTGCTTAGGAGGGTTTGAACGTCTAACCTTGCAGAGACCCACACTCTCTAGCCAATACAACAATTCGACTTTTGTAATATAAGACACATTATGTATTTATATTTATCAAATGGCTAATTCATTCCAAGAACCAGTATGGTCTTAGAAAATTCCCAATTTGGATAGTGATTTTGATCCGGATTGCCCTTTTTAAATCATGGGTTTTGGTACAGTGGCATTCTAGAGAGAGAAAAGAAGAGAAAAAGGGGGAAGAGGGAAAAAATCCGAAGTTCCATAAGGAATCAATACCTTATGCAAATTAGGAGACTTAGAGTTGTATGGGCAGCAACGCAAACCCAAAACTAGGGTTTAGGAAGTCAATACCATGGAAAAGAGGCATCAACACCTTAGGACGGAATCAACACCATAAATAAAAGCAAATTTTCTTCTGACTTAATTTCTTATTAATCTAGGATAATGTGTACTCTTTAAAGAAAGGATGTTATTATTGATAGCAAGCAAGCAATAGTTGCGTTGCTAGTTGGCTATAAACAAAAAAAATCATTAGTTTGGTTGTTGTCTTGATTGTTAAGGTCGGGATCGAGATCCCTATCAGTAGGAATCGGGATCCCTATGAGTGGGGCTCGAGATCCCAAAATTTAAACATCGAGATCCTTCAGAGATCTATTCCGGGAGCAACAAAATCGAGATCCTAGAAGGGATCGCCTACCAAAGTAGGAGATCCCGGTAACCATGTTTAATACTACTAAATCCACACATTCCGAATAAAATTGATGGTGTGGATTACTACAACCTTGCCTCTACAATTAAGTTGGAACATAACATAAACTGGCTGGTGGCCATCTTGTAGGACTTCTGTAAGGAAATACTCTACCATGGAAATCATCATATCTTTTACACATCCATTGTTGGTAGGAGCTAGTCTTAGAGTTGATCCATGAAGCTGTCCTATCTTGGGCCTTTTCTTTGTTGAGTTCATGTCATGGGAGACCTAGACTTTGTTCGTGATTGGAGCACTATTTGCTGGCCTGATCTTCCAGCTACTCCCAGACCCTTGACCTGGTTGTGGCTTCCCTGTTCTAGGAGACTGAAGCTCAATTTTGATGCAGGAGCCTGGGGCAAGCAGGAGTTGGGGGCTTTGTGAGGGACCACAGCAGTTCCATTATCATTTATTTCTTTGCCCACATAATTTGTGCTCGACAATTGCTTAAGTGTCAGTTCTCCTCATTGATCAAAGACAAGCTTGTCGTCTCTCATGGATTTCGTCAACGCTATCAATTGGGAAATATTATAGATCTTTTCCCATAAGAGGATCACTGGCATTATGGAAGCATTATAGGATTTGTACTGAGGGCCTTAACTTCTTTAAACACGCCCTTGGTGATTCTTTGCATATGTGGATTTATTGGCTACAGAGGTGGTGGGTGGAGAGTCTGTTTGGATTTTGAACTGTCTTCTGTATGATCCTCTACCATCCTTCTTACACCTTCTTGGACCTTATCTCCCCTTTGATCTCCTTTTTCTCTTTTAATTTTGTTATTGTTTTTCTGTTTTTTCCATATTTTTTCAGTGTCTATGTTTGCATTCTCTAGATATAACATGATATATACTCATCTGAATGTTACCGGTTGAGTAAATAAAATAGAATAGAGATTCCCATTGCTGATTTACCATTTCTATTAAAAAGACGTGCATGGATTTGGCTTCTGCTACTGGAATACTCCTTTATTTCAGACTCAGATTTGAAGGAACCATAGAACTACACTCGATAAGTAAAAATCTCTGTTGTGTCCTGTGACGATTGATCTAACTTTATGATGCCATTTTGCAAACTCTTTCCTGAATGATGCTGAAGTTACTTGACCATGATGTGTATTCCCAGAAGGACATTAAAGTAAATAGTTGGTCCTCAAGTCTTGTTTGCCACCCATTCCTTCTGATATCAAATAGTGACACCAGAATAATAAGCATTAGCTGATACCTCGAAAGTAATAGGATAGTAGATGAGTCTTGCTTGGTAGAAATGCCCCCATGTGCCTTGAATATTGTTATCGCCTAACTCAAACAGAGGTTATCGTCAATGTAAATACAGACGGGGTTACCTGTGATGCGATTAGTGTCTGCTGAGTTCGAGAAATAACAGCCAATACAGTTTGGTGCACTCTTAGGGAGGCCCGTGGAACTATTTTAAGGTGATTATGTTTGCAGCCAGATTCTGGTTTGATGCCTTTTTTTTTTTGAGATAATTCTTGTTTCATACATCAGTAAAGAGAAGAGGAGAGTGCATGATGTTTCAGTGCATGAATCTGCAAAATATCCCTGGTAGTGCATTCCCTTCCTGATCAGAACTGCGGCAAATTAATGTATCATACTGGCGATTAATTATCGTAGGGGTCTCAAAAGTCTTTCTGCTATTGAAAGGTATCTAACTGAATGCTTTTATTGTGGATTCTTGGGTATGACATGACAGTTGTGCTTTCTTTGGGCCTGTTTGGATGTGCATGTTCTTTGGCTACTTCTGGATGCCTACAGTATTCAGAAGATTTTAAGTGTCAATCACATTGTATGTCATAAAAGTGCTTCACCTTTATATTGGTGTTACTGTATCAAGCACAGCCTACATGTGCGTCTGAACGGGCACTTACTTTTCAAATGGTTATTGATTATCTAAAGTGTCTTTTGCCCTTCTGTGGAGCTCAGTGAGCTTTATGCCAAAGCTATTTCTTGTGGCTGTTAACAAGAAAAAGGCATGAGGCGATTTCTCCCAAGGAATCTATACAAGTTTTCTATTATCTTTGGTCTACACTAGATACATTAGTTCGTCTTAGCTTTTAACAATTATTTTTGGCTGTCTATGTAATGAGAGTTCTTTGAAGACTTTAACGAGTGAGTATTAGATTGTTTAAAGAGGATGCCACCTTCGCAGAGTGGCTTTTGTGGGAACTGATCTCAGAAGCTTGATTCTTGCCATGAGTTCTTAGTTTCTTACCTTGGCACCTAACATGGCACAACTGGGAATTTCAATTCCAAGTGTTCTTTTTCTGAGTTCCTACTCCTGCTACTACATTGACCAGAAATTTGGCTTCCAAGGAATTAGTAGGAGTATTAATTCTTCTCTTGCTTGAGGTTCATCATTGATGAATCATGGTGATCAGCTTGACTTTTTTGTTTTCTTCTTATTATAGATGGATGCCAGTGGTATTCTCTTGTTTGTTTTGTCTTAGGCTTTTAGCTGTCTTGTTTTTCTTCTGCAAATTTTGCATTCTCGTTATTCATCTATCTTATTCAAATACAGCCTGAAAATTAATCAGCTATTTAATAGCTCCTAAGAATTGCATGTTTCTCTGTTGCTGTTATGACAGAGGCTTTGTGATGATGATCCTGGAGTCATGGGTGCATCTCTTTGTCCTCTTTTTGATCTTGTTACAGAAGATGTGAGTTCATATAAAGATTTGGTTATTAGCTTTGTAAGCATTCTTAAACAGGTGTCTGAACGCAGACTGCCAAAGACTTATGATTACCATCATATGCCAGCTCCATTCATTCAGGTGTGTGCCTTGCTTATTCCAATTTGATGCTGTTTCTCACATTCTGTTGAATTCATCGTATTGTTTTTTCTGTCTACGGATAGATTCATTTAGTTTCATAAGTTCATGAACATACTGTGATTGATTTCTCTATGCATAGAGCCAAACTATGAATTCCTAGTTGAACTGGGCAGCAAACAGACTTATTTGTTAATTAATGGTCCATTCAGTTGGGGGCCTTAAGTTTTTGTTTTATTGCCTGAACTTAAAGAGGATGGGAGGATAATTTGTTTGTGACTGGATTCTCATCCATTTTATTACATTTACATCATTTCTGTACATTTTTGAATCATGGAGTGAAAGGAATGTATGCTGCCTTTCCTTTTTTTTGTGTGGAAATAATTGTATGGTAGTTCTACAGTAATGTATACAAGTTACAAATTTGTGCCCTTTATCAAATAGGGTGATTTACAAAATGTTCATTCACAAAACGTTTTGGGTACCACAACCCTTAGGGGGGAAGGGGGGGGGGGGGGGGGGGTGGGGGAGAGAAGGGGGAGGGAAGGGAGGTATGGTGGGATGGTGGTTGTTGTCCTTTTATTTGGGTTGGTTGTGCTCCGCATGTTGCTCCCAGCTCCCTCTTTGGCTAGGGAATCAGCCAACTCATTTGCTGGTCCTCATGTGTTCTGGAAAGTCACTGTTAGCGACCTGACAATCATGAAAATCTGGTTTACAATCACCTCAACTCTACAGTCATAGGGGAAGGGAGCCATTTGATCCCAAGATAATGTAGTTTTGGAATCACTTTCAACTAAGAGTGGGCCCCAAACTGTTAGGGTTACGTGGCCATTTAAAGGCCCTTTGGGAGCATGTAAAACTTTGACTATAGTGATGTGATAACTCTAGTGGGATTGTGGTTTGGAGGGACCAATTGCAGTACAAAGGGACCAAATGAGGCATTTTTGATGTCGTGACTCACCCGGTTTTGATGGGCTGAGGTTGGATTGGTGTCTAAAACCCTTAGCCTTGGGCATATGTCACAACCGATAAGGGATAGTAGGGTCATCCTTTGATGAGGTCGGAGAGATGCCCAGGGTGGTTGGTTAGGGGACTGTTGACCTTGTGTGCAGTGGTTGGCCAAAGAGGACAAGGGCCAAAATCTTCATCATTGCCAAGGCACGATATGTACATTAGATAGCTGTTCAGGGAGCACCCCATTGAGGCATGTCGTTTATGTGTGCGGAAGAGATGTTTCCCTGTAACACTAAATTGTGTTGGAAGGTCCTATGAGATAGTGTACAAATGGGACTTAGACTTGTCCTCAGGAAGGAAGCTGAAATATATGGACTAGGATTGTATACTCCTCTTTTAGTGACTGGCTTTTGATGGACCAATCATGGACCCTGCTATATGCTGTGGGTCATGAGTTCTGTTGGATCAGCTTGAAAAGATGACAGTGGTGCATGATGGCTACAATAGATGGAGTGCCTCAATATATTTGTATAGTCCTTGACCATATGGATCCAATTCCCATCAAATTTTATTGATTTACATGTTATTGGAATTATGGAACATTAAAATGAATTCTTAAAATGCTATATGTATTTTATTTGAGTAACGATCCTATGAGACCCTCCCTCACCCATGTGTGTAGGACCCCAAAGGATCACCATTAAATTTGGCACAGATCTCTAGAAAAGTTATCATATGGGTGTGGGACTTGAC